TTCCTTATCTTTTGGCAATAAGCCATTCTAGTCCTTTTTTAATATACATACTTTCTTATTTCTATTTTTTCACTTTTTATTTAATATAGATTTCATTAGTTTATGAATCATCTTCTAGTTCATGTCCTTGACAATATGTAATATAATATTAATTATTATGAAGAAAATTACATTATTCTCTTTTTATTAAAATATATTTTATATTATAATATGATATAATCTTCCACTTAACAAGTAATATGTTTTTTTATCATAATTATTATTCATAATTTTATACTTTTAATCTTTTAAAGTTGAAATTAATAGAGTAGAAGATTTAGTAATTTGAATAGCAAAACTTAAAATATAATTAAAGAATATCTAAGAATGATTATATCTATATATATATATATATATATATATATATATTAAAATTAGCCTTAAAAAAATTATTCAAATTTAGTAATAAGATTTGATTATTTAGTTATGATATTAAGATTAATTAATTATATTTGAATTTGGATTATCAAGAGCTTAGTCTATTTATTAATGAAAAATATTTTAATTCAGTTATATTTAAAGTATAAATATCACAATCAATAGACATTTACCTTATATTCTATGTATTTATTTTCATCGTTACATTGCAATAAACATATTAAATAGAAAGAAATTATTACTACCTTCTATTGAAATAGATAATAAAAAAGAGTTTGAAATAGAAGAAGTCTTAGATTTTAACTTTTCTTGAAATAAATTAAAATATCTTCTACATTAAAGTGGTATTTAAATATTATTATTTTTTTAGAAAATACTATTTTTTGATTACAAATATATTTATTAATCTTATTTCGAATATAATCTTGATATCTTGATACTATCAAATCTTAATATTACTTAAATAAATAATTTTAATTTTAATCCTAAAGACTATCATTTTTTTATTTTAAAACCTTATCAAATTATAGATCCAAAATTAAAAATTAAATTATAGAAGCTTTAATATATCCTAATAAAATTCTTAAAATAATCTAAAATCTAATAAATAAAATAAAATTATTATTAATTTTTTATTGAATTGTTGGATTTGCTTAAAAGATTTCTAATTGATAGCTTTATAAGTTAAGTATAAATGTATAAGTTATATTTAAGATTAAATGTATAAATTAATTAACAATATAATAAAATATTTGATAATAAAACTCTTTCATCTACTTTGATTTTATAAAGAGTTTTAGTAGTCAAATCTTGTAATTTTATTTTCAATCTTTTTTTAAACTTGGTATGTGTCTTGATTGTCACATGTTATACTAGTACATTGGATGTTCTCTTTATCCTATATTTAAATCTTTAAATATCTCAAAATCAGATATTGACTTTAATTTGTCTAATTCTAAAAGTCCTTTGTATTTTATATTTAATCTCTTTCAAGTAGACTATTAAAATGATGCAAAAACTTATGTATATATATATATATATTATTAAAATTTTATATTCTTACAAAAATCAAACTTTAGAGAAAATTTAGATTTTAAAAAAAATTAAAAATCAAACTAAAATTTACTATCTAAAAATTTGAATTAGTTATAAAATCTTTGTTTTATTATATTATTAAAAAACTTCTTAACTTAAAATTTAACAAACTTTACTCTTTTAAAATAATTTTAGAAAAATATTCTAATATCTTATTCTAATCTCTAAAAGGACCTTCAAATTTCCATTGGACTTTTATTTAACCCTAATTTATACATAGTTCTAACTTAAATATCAATCTAAGTATTTCCATGGTAAATTTTGCACAAACCTACATTTAATTTTATTCTTAAGGTTATTATATTAGTTTTTTTAATGCTTTGTGATATTATTTGAGGTGATATTACATACTAATTATAAATTTAATTGTTATAAAATGATAAAATAATTAGATGATCCTTTCATCCTATCATAGAATATTATTAATGGCTTAAAGAACTTATTAATTACCTTTATGAAAAACATAGATTTAAGCTTTTTTCTAACACCATTCTACAAATCTTAGAATTTATCAACTTATGTAACAACTTGAGTATTCTTCATATAACTTATTATATAAAAGAGAAGATAATATAATAAATGAAAATTTTAAATAAATAGAATTAAATAAATAAATAAAATATATTAAATACATACTATTTTTTAAAATAACTATAAAAAAAATCTAAAAAAAAATGATCTTTAAATTCTTATAGATATGCCACATAGTTATTGAATTTTTTTAAAAAAATAAGTTTCATACTTATAAGAAGTTAATGTCAAGGATATGAATTGGAAGAAGATACATAAACTTGAAAAATTTGTATTAAAAGAAAAGTGAGAAAATAACAATAAAATAGTATATATATTAAAAAAAAAATTGGAATGGCTATTGCCAAAAGTCAAGGAAACTAGAGATTCTTAAATCTAGACTAGAAGCACGAAAAGAATTGACAAGAGTGAAGAGAGCTTCACTCTTGCCTCTATATATACTATGTAACTAGAAGCTATGTGGCGATGTTCTATAAGACCTCTAATATGTGTTGATTTTGCGGGATATATGCCTTAGCTTATAAGGCAAGTTTTCTATGTGTGGGCCACATAGTTAGCTTGTTCTTCAAGCTACGAATATGTGTGGCACATGGCCAACTTATTGACCACGTTTCTAACCTAAAAAGTCAATTAAAGATACTTATAAAGTCAAAGCAGCATCTATGAAGCTTCTAGAAAGCTTCTATAGAAGATATTATGAAATTAACCTATTTTTATCTATTTTTATTTAAATCATATAAGTAATTATTGGTTTACATGTGTATGTCTATGATAGTTAAGTCAAAAACAACTTATAACTTGATGCTTTGGTCTTAAGTCTTGATGTTTTTAAGAAATTTTTATAAGATGTTTTTAATATCTAGTATATATAGAAGCAAGAGTGATGTCATTCTTAGTTTTACTAATTCTTTTTTTGTATTCTAATATTTATTCAAGACTCTTTAATTTCTTTGTATTTTGCAATAGCCATTCTAAATTCTTTTATTTTATATTTATATCTTATTTTCTTACTTTCTCTTTTTTTTTCAATGACATATAAGTGTATAGTATTTTTGAGTTGTTATCTAGATTTGTGTCTTTTATTAAATAAAATATCTTAATATATTGAAGAATATTAGAATATCTCTATTAAAATTACATTTCTTATTACATTGTTAAAAAATATTTTTTATTATCAAGGTCTTTGTAATAATTCTTATTTGGTTGTTACAATTTTTAAAATTAATTTGTTAGAAGAAGATTAATAATAAGAAATCACAATAGATAATTAAACTATCTTCTAAGAATATCATTATTTTTATTGCCAACAAAATTCTTTTGTAAATTCCAATAGTGGCAATATCTAATAAAACTTGCACATTTTATGACTATTAATAATTTAGAGGCTAATTATTACAAAATGTATGTAAAAACTTTTTGATATTACTATCAGTCTATAGCAAATTATATGAAGTCTTGTCTTGATAGACATCTCAAAGGTGCAATATTTTTTTGTGTAAAATAATAATAAAAATGAAATATTGTTACTAATATATTTCACCCTAAAATCCTACTAAAATACTAAATTTGCAAGTGTGATTTAGAAGAAATTAGTAAGCGTATTATATAACTTTTTACAATTTTAATTTTTGTAAGATCAATAAATGACAGATTTAAACCTTTTTTTTTTTTTTACACAAAAATCACATAGGAAAAAAAAGTATTTTTTATTGATAATGTTGATATACAATTCAAGACAGAGACACAGTTGAGAGCTTTTTGTGTGAAATCTAAGCATTTCATTGCAATTGTTTATGTGCTCATTGGCACACACTTCCAGTAGCAATATGTACACACACACACACCAAGTATTTGCATTCAAGCAGACTATCAAAAGTGGAGATCAGAGTTAAATAGATCAAAAGTAGAAGAAAAACAAAAGACTAGAAGTGGAAGACTGAAAACGTGGGGCAGAGCAGGAATAAGAAAAGGTGGAGGTGAATGCAAATCCAAGAGACGTGGGTGAAGAAGGATGGATGATGAAGAGCCAAATGGAGATGAAGACCAAGAATGGAAAACGCGCATGCAGTTGCGACAACATCCGCCGATTTCGGAGGACAATGGCGAAGGAGGGAGGGAGGATGTTCCCACAAAGCCTCACCATTTGCATTGCAGTGCATCGCATGGCAGTCCCACTCCAACATGCTCTCCGCGCCAAGTATCCATTCCTCAGATCATTTCGTGGAGATCACGACAATCCATAGCTAGTGCCCTCAACTCCATTTCTACACAACCGCCACCTTTAGCGCTCTCAGTTGACTGATGACCTCAGCATCGTTATCCGATCCCTTATCCTTTTGCTCCTGTGAATCTGCCTCTGCTAGCCCCACGTTGCGACTTCTGATCGCTGATTCACAAACTAGCATTGCTGAAGAAAAGCATCGATGATGTTCCAGTGCCGCAGTTCCATCGACCTGGTTGCACAGAGCAGTCTCTCGGGAGGTTTTGCGAAACTCTGACGATGTTGCAGTGGTTCATGCAGCTCCAGATAGAAACATGCATGAAACCTTTTCCTGCCAACGTCTATGGTCTTGCCGCGTTTGTCTCGTGGTTACAATATGTGGTTGAGCTGGGACTCGATAGCCGAGGTCGACTGATTGCAGGCTACGAGTCCTTTCGGGTGAAGAGCTCCAGTGTGTTGAAAAGCTGCATCTGTTTCGCCTTCATGTAGGCATCAAACGTGAACGGAATATACTTCGACGGGTTGTTCTCGTTCACTAATGCGGGATGCGCGACGATTACTGTGGTCGGCACATGGCATGTCGAAGTACGCGAATGAGAGATCCGGGGCACGGTCGCGTTCACGACCGCTCTGTGTAACGGACCCTCGCATCTCGCATTTGTGAGAAGCTGCAAGGAAACAAGTTATCACAGAATTTCAAAAAAAGGGAGGATTGCATCAACCTACTCCACCGTGAATAGTTACAGTTATCTGCACCCAGCTGCATTTGATGGTTTCATGCTGCAGTTTCAGCGATGATTGGCAACCTGGAGAGTGTCATCGACGAGAATAGTCAGAGCATTGGACGTGGTCTGATCCCGCTCCATTTCCCCTCTAGCCAAATTTGCAGTCCGCCAACATTGCTCGTGTGCAGGATGGTCAAGAGGTTGAAGTCTGTATGCGGTTTCAGGCCTATGGTTTTGTGCGGCTCGGGGCAAGGAGGATAGTAATTCCAACGAAACAGCCCTCCAGCATTTTTCGTGATCCGTTCGAAATGGGTGGAGTCAACGCCCAAGCCAGTTATGATTATGTGAAAGAAGAGTTCAGACAGCTCTTGCATCTTGGAAGTGTATTCATTGTACGAATCTCTGCAGGCAACGTCTACAGACCAAATTACTTCACAGATAAATGAAATCTGGTCTACGCAGACATCCTCAAACACACACACACACACAGAGAGAGACGAAGTGATCAATCCAAAGAGTTTGCCAAAATTGAAGATAAACACCTTCACAAAGTTACTGTTGTTGCTCTTCGGCCACAACTCGTGGATCATTTCAGACGTGGAACCATCTCTCACGAAGTAGAGACCTTCTGCCCAAGGTCGAATGTCGCCCTTCTTCACAGTCGCGTGTCCATAACTCGAGTACTTCCCCGGCTTTTTCGCAACTTTCATCTTCTCCTAACGAGGCAGCTTGAAGAATTGCTGCGGCTGGTGCTCTATTCGGGAAAGTCGTGCCTCGTCGACGCCATGATTCACGACATGGAAGAACTTCCAGTTTGAGCAGGAATCTTTCACCTGCGCGATTATCGTCTGTAGAGCTGCCCTCTGACCTTCGAAATACGGAGCCAAGTCTATAACTGGAATATCCAAATCCCTGTACTCGTCATGCTTCACTGTGGGCCGCTGATGCTCCGGCAAGACAAACTTTTCCGACACTGTAGAAAATTGGACTGTGGACCAGGGGGTCGCCATCTCTGGCTCGGAGAAATTTTGCAATGACGAGTGTTCACATGTAATTGCACCTCCCGCATTGGAATGCAATCGAGGCCTGTGTATGTCGGGCATGTTGCTCAGCACCTCCCCTCTAAGTGAATCTCTAGTCCTCTCAATAAGCTTTGCAAAATCCAATCCCTCTTAGGGAACCCCTCGAACCAGGTTGCCATACATCGTCACCTTGAAATCAAGTAGGTTCAGGGGTACCTGGCAGGTGCTACAGTTAAACTTCTGATTGCGTTGAATTGAACTCCTGCTTTCAATCGATTGTGACTGCGTTGAGAGTGAACATTCTCTCAAGAGTGCCAGATCTCGAATATAAACGCCTTCAGCACATGTGCGTCAACTAAAGTGCACTCCCGACATTCATGCGCACCGTGAGGCAACTACCTTGAAAGTTGGAGTGGCTGACTTGTCCCTATAGCAGTACCACAGGTGCATCTGATCCTGCATGAGGACCGAAGATTGCGACTTAGCCCATCCCTTCAAACAGGTGTGTGCGTTTTCATCCGAACAAGCAAACCGGTCTGCCTCATTATTTGGAACTGGAGAGAAGCGAATTTGCAGTGATCATTCAAATTCTTCCTCTAAATTCATAGTTGGGCCACATTAGTGTGGCGAGCACATCTGCATCGATATTCGCTGGCATTGAGAAAGAGAGTATGTTGAGAAAGGCGGGTGGTTTGCAATCCACTTGAGCAAGTTGAGTTTTGAGATAGATATCGATGATTTTCTACCCACGAATTCATGAGAAGTATTACATGGACTCGTGTGGAGCCGACAGCTGCAAGGCTGTTTCCATCGTATCTGTAATAATAAAAGCACGAATACCTGGATCGTAATTTGAGGACTAGATGCAGAATGAAGCTACCGGAAAACATGGTGAATAGAGCCGTGCATTCCTGGCAGAACTCTCCGCCAACCTTTTGATCTAAACACAAAGAACAGATGTAAATGGAGAAATAGTTTCTCTTGTATGCCACGGCACTTCAATATGTTCCAGAAAAACAAAACAATAGTCACTGCCCGAACTAAGCTAATCGATAAAGACAACAAAACTAGTGTCACACAAAACAAATCATGTGCAATCAAGAGAACAGATGGTCTGAACATTGCAGCATAAATTTACACGAAGGGTTTTTACGAGCATGAGAAAAACGAAAAAAAAAAAAAAAAAAAAGGGAAAGGAAAGGAAAGGAAAAAGAATTAAAAGAGGACAGAAGCTTGGGAAGCTGGATTAGTGAAGTGCAACAAAGTAGTAATAGTACTCACGTGAGGCAAGAATGATATGCCTTTGTTTCTTCCCCTCCAAGATTTGGGTTCCCTGAGAAGGACCACTTTGCTCTTTACCGTATTCAGGTGCAGTGCTGAGAGGTTCATACGGTTCCAGATAACTAACTAAGCTGAAGCTGAGAGGGTAAAGTAAGCGAGGGTGTGTTTGTGTGTGTGTGTCTGTTCGTGTTACTGCACACACTCTCTCTCACTCGCTCACTCTCACTCTCACTCACACCCACTCACTCACTTTCGCTCTCTTTCTCCTCATTCAATGCCACCACGTACTGCCAGAGCTGTGGGGGGAGGTTGAATTCCCCTTGTGTCCATCATCATAATCAGCATCATTCCTGCTTTTTATAACTCCTTTGTACTTCTTTCGTGTCCCTTATCCACTTTAAAGTCCAACATTCCTTTTCACAGTTAACTTCATTTCATGTATTTCTTTTCTCCATAACTTGTTTAGTTGGGCCTTGTATTCAATAAAGAATTAGTAGGCAAAGCAGGATCAGTAATAAAATTCAATACCAGACACATGTATGTCATACATTCTTTCTGCCCACGTCCAATGCATCTTGGATACCATGCTACCACGTCCCTCAATAATCAGAGTCAAGTAAGCGCCATTTTCTACTCATGCAGATAAAGCACTTAGAAATGGATTTACATTGATTTTGAGGGGTGTCGGTGTTGCCGAACCATGCCAACCACGCCTTGAAAATGTACTTCAACAACACCTCGTAAACAAAGACTAAGTGGGGGCAATGGATCCGGAGTTCATTCCCAGGGCAGCTCCTGTTTCTGACAATCCAGCCAATGGTATGTCGATTTCGCAATTGACATTGCGAATTAGTTGCACAGAATTTCCGAGTTGAGTGTGCATGGTAATCTCCTCATTCCGCTGGGTCGTTACCCTAAAACCCTTTGCTCCAGAAGAAGGGCTCGCGAGCTCTCACGCAGATTGTGCTCAAACTTCTGATTCCTAATCAGTCAATGTTCACCGAAGGTGTTTAGGAAAGGAGCATCACACTTCATGACAGATCAAACAGGTCGACACTCGTCTTGCGCTCAAAAATTCTACCTCTGATGCGCGAAGAGGCTAAATTAAAAGGATAAATACAATCCAGTCCAAGTTCTCAGAGATTAAGAATCTAGATGGAAGAACTATTCACAAGAGCCTGAGGGTCTTTGTCTTTACAGTAGCCCGACTGCTCGTCAATCGCAGCAATCGAAGTAAGGGAAGGCTGGAAACTAGTGAAATTCATCTAAGGACTCTACCTTGATTGGCCAAATGTGGGATAAAAAGAAAACCTTGAGATGAGTCGCAAAACCCCTAAGTCGTGACAACTCTTCCGTCAAGGATTGGAAACTAGACTGCAATTACGATGGAGAATGCCTGAGTTGGTTCGTAACGATAGCTCTCAAATGGTGCGATGGTCGTGGGTTCCTACATCCACGACTAGTCTTCAACAATTCTGTAGACGGTAAGAACCTACTGGAAACCGATATACGGAATTCCTCTTGCGTGCTAGAGAACCCTAGATGCACACTTGTGATATTTTGGAGTATCCGCTGAAAAATTTCGCCATGAATCGGCAGTCAGGAAAAAGTTACGAAGCTCGAGATCGGACGACGTGTGGAGATGCCCGCGCAGAGAATGCTCGTGCATATTGTGGAGGATGGCACCCTCTCATGTGCACCTGCAACGAGTCTGGCTTAAATGTCCTTCCGCAAGTCCTGCACTCGCAACGGATTTCTACAGTTAAAAATTCTGTAGTAAGGATGAGAGCTTCCACTTCTGCAGACACCGCTGTGCCAGTTCTGCGAAAAAAGCAGAATGTACAACATAGATCGTAATAAGAATTGAGCAAATCTCCGTAAAACTCTAGCCAATAAACTAAGCCACTACAACTAGGGTTGTGGAGACTTACGAGCACTCCTGAAGGATTTCTCTAAAGTTCGGTGGAGGTAAGCAATCAGTAACAGCCTCTTGCAGTGCTTTCTCCCAGTCCAAAGTTGTCAATCCAGGTATAAGAGGCCTGCAGTCAGACGCATTTCTATTGATTTAGCACGACAGCAAAAGCTCGATGCTACAAGTTCATCTCCCTCCAGAACAAATCAGAACGCAAATGTCCCATTGAATTCATTCAAGGTGCACTTCTTCATGTGCATTAGGTACGTTGACCTACATCTCATCTCTCTCACGGAAATTGATGCGTTTCTTCACAATTGGATTCTCTGGCGAAAGATTGGAGGCAGCGGAATCATTTTCTGGCGACAGTGTGATGGCAGCAATCGAGCTAAGGCTTCTAACTGAAACTCTATTGAAAGTCCGCACCAGTGGAGGAGGAGACGCAAGTGGAATAGAAGTTCTAGGGGTTCTCCTCGGCGTGATGATCTGTACTGGTTTTGTATCGTTAGTGCCTTTATGAAATCCCGGAGGTAGAGGCTTCGGTGATGTGGTTGTCTTTACCCTAGGAAGGCTGTTGCTTGTTTTCACTCTACACAAGGGAGGAGGAATGCAATTGATCTTAGTTGGAGAAAATCGTGTCCGAATTTACAGGGGAAAGAAAGATAGACAGAAAGAATAAAAAAAATCAAAATCAAAAATAATGGTTATAATTAAAACGAAAATACAGAAGCAGAATTACCTAGCTGTGGCAGATTTCGGGATGTCGGCTTCTGCAGGGCTGCCCTGGGTGTCAGATGTCGGACTGTCAAGTGCGTCAATGTGCAAATCAGGTATTTGCACTGACAGCACTATTTGTTCCGTTCTCAAATTCTGCTGAAATTCCGGTTCAGGGAATTTATTTGAGGCCTGTTCTTCCACAATTGCCTTGATGTCACCGATTTCTACGTCTTGCTCAATTTCCGTAACTGGACTTGTAATCTCTTCGCAGCTTTGAAGAGTCATCGGTGACGGACGATTTTTACACTCCTCTTGCGGTGGGATCTCTTGCCTGTCAAGTGAACTGTGAGCCTTGTTATCGACTGCGGGAGATGGACATGTCACTGGAAGGGATCCTGCAATGTGGTTTGTCGATCTAATTTCCTTGCAGGGCGTTTTGGTGCGAGACCGTGGCATTTGCTTGGCTTCAGGTGACTTTGGGAGTGGATCTTCACATGTGCTTTGAGGAGTCCGCTTACCCTTGCTGCTTCCTCCGGTCCACCGAGCCCAGAGTAATCTGATCAATTGGGAGGTGGACTGTTCGGCCTCTTTCTCTTTCTCGTTCTGCACCTCTCTCAGTTCATTGAGACTTGAAGGGCTCGCGCTTTTTGATCGGCCGTCCCTCCAGAACGAGACATCTTCTTGTGTGCTTAGAGTGATTGGTGGAACATCCACATCCAAGGCAGCGTTTTCGCCACTTAAGACAGGGTTCACATTTGACGAGTTTCTCGAAGTTCGAAAGAGACTCTTCCTAATTTCTTTCTTCCACATTCTCTTCGCGCTACCAGGAGAGAAGGGTGGTTCCGTCGGCGAGGTGAGAGATCTCGGTGCAGGGGTGTGAAGACCATGCACTGTTGTCGACCTCGTCATCACAACCAGCCCAACGTCTTTTACAGGTGTTATGCAGTCGGCGGCCGTTTTGAGACGAGGAGAGACTTCGTTGTCGGAAGATGATAAGCAGAAGTCTGATTTCTCCACATCAATTGTTTCTTGATCCACCGACAGATTCTGCAGGTTCTTGGGAATGTCAATCGCAACACCTTTCGAGCTACAGTCCTCCAAATTTATGCATGACCTTCGACCCGAGCAGCACAATTTCTCCCCACTGGGTTGGTCGTCTTCACGGGCAAGGGCTCCTGAATGCAATTTAACATTAATCAAGCCTTGCTGTAAAGTGACATTGTCGACTGACATTGTTCGAGAGCTTTGCATTCGTTCATTCGAGTGTTTGCTTGGATGCTCCCATGGCTTATCTGCATTTCGTTGCCACAACAGATGGTTAGTCAATATTTAATTAACAAGTCTCTTGATTGAAGTACCACAAATGCTCACAAAACAGCTCAACAACAGGCGGTTAAGGCGGAAGTGCACACGGGCATCCGGGGGTCATCTTTAACATTTAGATTTCAAGGGTTATATCAACTTACTTGTGAAGGTGTCAAACAATTCTGAAGCTCTCAAAACGTACTCTCCAGAGCCGCGAAGCGGTTGTATCACATCGTCATCACACAGATCGTTCCAGATAAATTCGTTCTTGTAGTTTCTGCAAAATGAAAGCAGATCGCTTACAGTCAGCGCCTAACGCGGAATGTGAGATTACTCACGTACACTTCACTTGAATACCTCTAGGCTGTTTCAATGCAGAGCCTTCGAGAAAGAGATAATTTACTGAAAACTAACCTCTTGGAGGACCAGGAAAACGAGTCGTTGATGCCATGCCCTCGAAGCGTGGTAAGTCGCTTCTTCACATCTGCAAAGGAAGACAAGGCTCAGAATTCTGAAACTGGATCCCTTAGAAGTGCAGCAATCCAGTGGACCTCGCATTTCACAGAATTTGGAGCTTCAAACAGCCCTGTAAATTCTGGAATCACTACATGTCAAAGCAATCAAGCCCACTAGGCTCTCCGTAGCTGCTCACGTCTCACACAAACCTCCGAGGTGAGAGCATGCACAAACCTCTCAAACGCAGGCCGCCTTGGTTGGGGGGGTAATGGACCTCGATCATATGGGGGTGCTCAAGTTTACCATCCCAACTGAGTTGATACAACACTTGCACGCTTGACGAATCTTCTCCACGTGCCATGATGTCTTCGTCACTTACTGTAGTGTGGAGAATTTGGATCAAAGGTGGAAGCTCGACAATTGACACCTCCTGTCCTCAAGAAACGACGGAAGCAACCACTTAAAGGTGAACGTGGAGACACAAATCCGCACTCCTCTCTCAAGTGCCAAGGTGAACTCTGAACTTGTTTTGGGACGCCTTGAAGTAGATTGGTCCCTTCAGTTTAAATTCTACAAACAGAGGAGGATGAGCTCAAAATATTCGGGACAAACAGAGGGGGAGGGGGACATCCAAAGCAGTCCATTGCGGAGAATGCACATGATCTGTAATGTGAGCTCTACAGTGATTCACCAGATATTGCAGGCTTGGCTTGAAAGAAGAACATGCAGGCATAAATAGCAAGATCGCCAGCATCACTCATTGAGAGGATTAAGTATCTCGGCACAGGTGGACGTGGCAGCAATGTCGTGTGATTGCCACTAAATTGCAATCACACGACATTGCTGCCAAGATGCACGCCAATCTTGCCACAGAACAGTGCGTCCAAAGTGCTCTCAACGCTTGTAGACCTTGAGAGATTCATTGACAGCAAAGAAGCCAAACATGAAATACAACCATGATGATCTGTCGATCTTTAGAGTACATTCAAGTGCCTGCAACACTAACACCCCGCCCCATGATCACATGGACAACTTCATCATATACGAGCAACAGGAACTTGACTTTTCCTACCTTGAGCTATGGAAGCGGCGCTCGCCAGAAACCCGCAAGACCGGATGGAGAACAACAACTTGGGACAAAGGCGACTCGTCACTATAATAGCCCGCCAACAAAGCAAAAGCGAAAAGGCTGCATGAACTCAAAAAATGCTAGCCATCGAAGCAGCACAACCACCGCCCGAGAGCTAATTCTCTTCAAGAAGGTCACCCACTTTTGGCATTCAATGGTTCACTACATACAGGAGAGTATGCCAAGCGGAGTAGCTCACAAGTTCAATGCGATACAAATGCAACCAAGTGCAACCCAATTCGAAAGGCAGCCCAGGCCACTCAAGGTCTACGCTCTCAATGAGGTGATCATCCGAAAGGGCCACCTCAGACGGCGATCGATCGATCACAATGAGCACAACTGCGCTGGACAAAGCGAGCAGCAGGGGAGAGGGGGTGGGGGAAAAGGCTTGAGAGGCTCTGGATGCAAAGCTACGGCTTGACTAGGATGCTCCAACCATAGCGCAGGGATCAGGTTTATAAGGCCCTCCAGCACGAATCTTCTCATCATCATCAGCAGCAGCAGCAGCACCGCCCCTTGCTAGACTAGTTCATTGAACTTCATCTGCGCCCAAGTTACCGAATTCCCCAAGAGGATGCCGAATGTTTACCAGCACTCTCAGACGTAGGTTAATTAGTGCTCATGATCAGGCGAGGCCAAGAGGGCAGGTGACGTGGGGCGAGAAGCAGCGAGGGCAAGAAGAGCAGGAGAGAGAGACAAAAAAGGCTTAGGGCGGAGGTGAAAAGGGCAGATAGTTGGACTGAGAAATCATGGTTCATCGTCCCTTGGACCGCCATCAATGCGGTGCCTGCCGCTGCTCTGCAGATCCTGGATCCCTTCATTACGGCCACATCTCCGCCTGCCTACGACGCCTCGCGACGCGACGCGCGTCCAGGACCCCCCAGTCCCTCTACTCCACCGTCCCCTCCCCTCCCTCCCTCCGTCGCCAGCTGAAGCTGAATTTCGTGACTGAGCTTCCGCCCCCTTAGAAGAGTTGAGTTGAGGGGAGCTCTCTCTCTCTCTCTCCATTGACCATGCTTTTATCGCAGCTTTGGTCCGGCCCTACCCCTCCCCCCCCCACTGTGGCCCAGCCAGCCTTTGGTGGCTTTGAGGATCCACCTCCTGACACGGCGAACTTTCCACCCAGCTCTGCTCTGCTCTCTCTCTCTTCCTGATCTTCTCATCGTTTCCAGTGTCCAGAGCCATGGAAACTACCATACCCCAAGGAAACTCAGAATGACATAAATAAAATTATATAAAAAACTAACGAACTAACTAACTAGTGTACCCTCTGGCATTCGTTGTAGGGTAGTAGTAGTAGTAATGGTATATTGCTGCTGGACTGCAGAGGGTGCCTCCCACAAACTAACTGGACTGTGCTGTGAGTACGCTCCCTTCACCTTCGCATGATCCACAGTCTCTTTCCTCACATAAGTTGCTGCGATTGACCCTCCATGGTTTCCCCCACAATTCCTGTACCCTCCATTTTATTTCATTCCTCTTAATTTCTTCTCTCAAAACTTGCTGATAACTGGATACTGGTGGAAAGATGGCAATTTTCTAGAAATTGTAGGAGAAACAGAAGTTTCTTTGAATGTGAGTTTGAAATGTGAATTTTACTCTAAGTTCTTGCATGTGATTTCTGTGTATTCTGTGTGAGTCAATGTCATTTGTGAACATTTACAACAAGACAATAATTTTGGTAAATATAAACATAAAAGAAAGCCTCTTGCATGGAAAAAATTTACCATGATATGGTTCTCAACAAAGCAGCAGTACAAACCTTAGTTCTCAAATGCATTGAATTGCCACAACCATGCTTGAGTCTTCCATCTTTGTTGCACTCACCTTGGTTTTACTTAATTTTCAGTTAAAAAAAAAGGGGGTTTTGAGGAGACAGAGGAAAGCTCTCATTCACACATATGAACACACAACACTAAAACTTACTTTTAATTGATGAATTTTTTTCTGTTTTTTTGCTCTTTTTCTTTTCTTTTTTGTATGTATTATCTGCTTTATCCCTGCTGCTGTTGGCATAACCTCCATCTCCTCTCTCTGTCCTGTTCTCTGACTGCAGAAAGTGGATTTTATTTCAATGAGCACAGTGGCCGTCACCTTGGAATCAGCATCAACAGAAGGAATGGAGAAAGTAAGGTCAAAAGAAAAGAAAATAAAAGAAAAGAAATGCTCCAATCAGTTTTGACAATGTCAGTTTCAGAAGTGGTTAGGATCATCATCATCATCAACATATGCAATTTTTGTTTTTATTTTGTGTGCTGCCAAGAGGTTATTTCAGCATGTCCTAATCGGAGGCTACCATCAGCCCGATGCCATGTGTGTGTGTGAGTGGGTGAGTGAGTGAATGAATTCCCATCTTTGACCCTGTCTTCTCATCATAGCCACCATTGTTGGCATGGTTGGATGATTGAACCCTACTCACAAGGGAGGAGGGAGGTTAGAAGGGTCCTCCCTGAGTGGGAGAGAAGGAGAGAGGAAGTGGGAGTGGGAGACTATTACTGCTGGGTGTGTGGTGTCAGAAGTGACTACTCAGAGATGGCATATTGATATGTTTAGTTTCAGTTCCTGCATTACTACTAGAACAAACAGTATGACTGTGTGTGTGTGTGTGGTAGTAGTGGTAGTAGGGGAGAAGTGGTGAAAACCGAGGTAAAGGATCTGATTTGCATGCATGGCCTGCCTCCAGTTCTCTTTTCATCTCTGAAGGGTGTGCTCTCTGAGTGTCTGTCTGTCTGTTTCTCTCTTCAGACTCATGAGGATGGCATGGTTGACCCCACATAGGCATCAGAGCCGGTCATCACCTCTCCTGGCCACCACAGGATCCCCCTCCTCCTCCTCTTCCCTCATCCCTCTCCCCCTTCTTCTGTAATCCCTAGGCCCACTTTTCCCACCTCCAATCTACTGATCTTCGCAGTCTCTGTGCATCTGCAGGGCTGTAAGAGAGCTATTTGGGTGCTGGGTTACCTACCATCCATCTTTGGGCACACCTCTCCATAGCCCCCCTTCCAATGCTCCTCCAACCCTACTCTACTCCCTCCTCCTCCCACCTCCTCCCCTTTCCTGCTACTTCAGTCTGACAGTGCATGCATGGCAAAGCTTCCTTGCGTCCTCATGTAGTTCATTACAACACACACACACACACTTATATATATATATATATATATATATGCAAATAACTATTACCTGCTGGCCAGCCAGCTTTTCCACAGAGGTTGTATCTATGTTTTTTTGTTTATATATATGTATGTACTTGTGTGTCTGTATATATAATGCATTTAAATTGAACTGAGTTTGCTGTTTACATGGTGGATTTTTTAAGCTTCCAAACAGTCTGTGCAATCCTTGTTGATTACTCCTAGCTACCCCTGCAAAGCTTCTTTGTGCACTTTCAAAGTATCAGAGCATTCAAAGCAGTTATTTTCCTTTCATTGATGTCTAAGAAAGTTAGTCATCAGAGAGTGATGTGGCCTTATGCTTTCTTATGTATATTCAAAACTATTCCATCTTATGTGCATTACTAACTATTAAACTCACACAATAAGATTGAGGGATTCTTGCATTTGATGCAGTCCTATTGAGTCAATCATACAGGCTCATAGTAAAAATTGGTATGATAATAACCAATGTAATAATAATTAACAATTGATATAGTTGTTAAAGCACAAAGACACAATTGAATTAGCAGTGGTATAATGCATATAATTTGATGCACACACATGTGTGAAGTAAAACATAAGTCAATTCCTGGCTTAATTAATTAATAATTAGTTCAAGCAAATGTTACATAATTTTTTTAACACCAAGTAGTCCTACCTGCCCATGTACCAACTGTTATAACTTTACTTTTTAGTAATTTCAATTGCCACCCCAACCTATCCTTGCATACAGCTTTAACTTTGAAAGTTGAGAATTTACCAATCTATACAAAAATTATTCTAAACCTCAAAAATACAAAAAAAAAAAAAAAAAAAAACAAATAAAACAATCCAAACTTGGGTGTTAATAACCATTGTTCCTCTAGTGCCCTTTATAAAAATAAAAAAATGTTTTTTTGGATATGTCATAATCCAAAAATATTATGACATGAGATTTTTGTAACAAAACAATTCCTTATTCAATGTAACCACTTTCAAGATTTCAAAAAGACATTATTGACAACCACAATTTTCAATGTATTGAACCTTCATTTTGGATTCAGCAAGAAGATAGCATTTTTAACAATGTAGCAAATTGGGCATGCATATCTTTCTACAATGGAGCAAATTAAGCATGAAAACCCTCAGAAAAATGAATAAATTTAACATGTTCAACAAGGATCAACTCAACTGCCACCATATTCCTATAGCTCTTTTAAAGATATGTACTGAGCAAATTATAAACCACATTGAAGGTAGGCATTAGATTTCAGCAGGAAAGAGTCCAAGCATATGTGCAAGGCTGAATCTTGAAATTGTCAACTTTATTATTCTCTGAAAATATTATAACAACATAATTAAAGTTATGCTAATTTTGTAATGCAAGGTTATACACATACCTTGTGACAAGTTGCATTTTATTCTGTGATTGAACAAAACCCATTTACAGATCTTCCAATTCATGCTTGTTTATACTGGCCAATAGTCAACACATAATTGTAATAAATGTATATGGGTATCATGTGGTTTAAAGACATGAGCATTAGATAAGTGCTTACATACTGAGTTGGCCTTCTTTAACTATATTTCTTAGTGTATTTTCACTGGAAATCCCAAATTAGTAAATTTTAGACTTATGATATGAATTTGTGCACCATGTCATGCCTATCAACTTCCTGCATTATCACAAGTTTCACCTTGCATGTGGACACACTTTGGCCACACTGAACAGATTTCAACTGGGTGTGTTTATTTTTTTATTGATCTGATTTCAGGAATTAAACCCCTACAAGAGAGAATAATAATTTTTCATGAGAATCATAATAACAGATCATGTTTTTCTTCTTCTTCTTCCAAACCCACACCAACATTGTCCACCAAGGAAAATGGGGAGTCACAGAGAGCAAGGGGAACAAAGATAGCTGCCAAAGGGAACAATCGTTCCCAACACCCAAGATGGGATCCCAGGTGTGAGGGGGAGGGAACACCCTGTGCCTTGGATGGGACACCTTGGAGGGAAGAAAGGGCCACAGCAGCAGGCACTCAGGCCAAGCCAAGCCAAGCAGGCAGGCAGGCAGGCAGACAGTTTTTCTTTGGAAGGAGTCGAGGGAACCCCCCCACCCCACCCAATGCAATGCAATGGAACACTCTGGAATAATAATGTCACTCACTCACTGCAAGGTATGGGGCAAGCAGGAAGGATGGATTGCCATAGAAAAAAGAAAAGAAAAGAAAAGAAAAAGAGCAATGCACACTAGGAAACAAACAAGTGAGAGAGGAGGATGAATAGCACAAGGACGCAGGAACGGATGAATATTCTGCCAGCCAGCTAGCTTGGATGGATAGATGGATGAATATTCCGCGAGCGGGGATTAAAGCCCACCAGTGGAAGTGAGTGCACCAACCAGGAGGGAGGATCCAACCTGGCCAGGGCAGCAGCAACCAAAAGGAAAAGTGCATAGGAAGGGAAAGGCAGAAATGCCTTTAAAGGCAGTGCTGGACAGAGAGCGCGAGAGAGCGAGATAGAGCCTTCGTGGTCAGAGGGGGGAGATAGTTCATATATATATATATATATATATACACATACAAAAAGATATACATACAAATGTGAAACTAATAATGTAACATTGAAGAATATCCGATGTTAAAAAACCAAACTTAAATTGAATCTTACTTAA